CCCATAGGTAGGCGAACTACGTTGACTCTGATTTCTCGTTCCAGACGGGAATACGTAGGTATAAAGTGCGATACTTTGCCGAGTCATTTTATTTTCTTTTAACCCCAGACCTGTAGAATAGATAGAATAACAATCCGTACTAGAAAACAAGCGTGGATCCCGTCGAGTACGACGAACGTGAGGGGTGCTAATACCTTCCCCTCGCGTAACCGACTCCCGAATCCAGGATTTGGTTGTGATGACCATTCCTTTCCCGTTTTTGCGGTAGGTTTACTCTGAGCGTTTCCTTTCCCTCCGTTGGGATAAATAATGCACGGTGGCGACTCTTCTGTTCAGCCGACGCCGAATTTCGCAGTAGCGACACCGATGTTTTGAAAATGTACTCGGTACGGAACCGAGATTTTAGGAGGAAAGGTGGAAGCGTCTTCGTATTGAAAGACGAGTATCGAAACCACCCACACTACAGTGAGCATCTCGACACTCGGAGAGGAAGAAGACTACACTTAATCCTCTCTTTTTAATTCAATACGAAGATAATTTATTTCTTTATCGAAGAGATTTTCGAGAACCTGCCACAGATGAAAAGCAGAGATAGATATACACAAGATATATAATTAACAGTCCACCAATTAGGATTTTAAGGTTTCGATATTGATTAGGTGTTTTAAGAGAATGTACAAGTTAGTTGAATATTTAAAGGATAATAATAATATACAGAATATATAATATGTACAAGAATGTAACTGGCTGAAAAATAAAGCAATTAATATTTGACAGAAATTAAAGCAGTTGTATATTGGCCAGTGTATCGAATCGGGATACAAAAGAATGGGATATCGTCTTAACCACAAACAAAGTGTCGATTAATCGAAGGTAGCCTATCGCGATCCCAAAGTAAGGAAGATGACCCAAATGGTCATCCCCCATAGATTTGAAATCGGGAAGGTTATCAACTTCGAAAATTTGACGCTTGCGGATAAAAAGACTTCATCGATCCACAAGTCAAAAATAAAATCGAATCGGCATAAGAAATAAGAAAGAAAAGAGGTGGTCTCGGATCCTTTGTTTCACGTCAATAATTTGACGGCTAAATGATGAAAATCTCTTCATCGACCCTAAAGGCAAAAAATGCCCAATAACAAAAGAGAAATGAAATTTAACTTTTACAAAAAGTAATTGCTCAACTTCTAAATAGGATATAAAATTGAAATTCAGAAACTATAAAAATGAACTATCTAAAAAATAATATACAATATATATATATATATTCTAAAGAAAAGAAGATTAAGGATTATATAAAAGCTAATTAATACAAAAATGTACATATAAAATAGTTTTAGAAAAATAAAATATTAGCTAAATAAATTAATATATTTACAAAATACAGTATATGATACATATATAAAATAACTAATAATAGTAATATACATGATTAATAATAATAATAATAATATATACATAATTTCTTAAAAAAAGGAACAGGGGGATGTTAAAGAAAATGGTGGGTCAGTAAACAGAAAAAACGGATGGGCCATGAGGCCCAATCCAACAGCCAGAAAAAAAAAAAAATAAAGAAAAATACAAAATAAGGAAAAAAAAGAAAGAAAGAAAAGGTCAGAACAACAACAACGAAACTATGTAACAATTTCTCACAACTCAGAACAAACAAACGCCAAGAAAAAACGAAACAACACTATCACGTCTTCTCGTTTCAAACTTCTGCTTGCGATTTCCGACTCAATCTCTCTCCGCTTTCATTTCCATCTATTTCACTTTTGTTTCGGACTTAAACTCTCCTTGTTTTCTCTGTTGGATTTCGTTCTCTCTGTTCTGTTTATGTTTGGGTTTTGAGAAAAGGTGGTGATTGAAAGGAACAACACTATCATGTCTTCTCGTTTCAAACTTCTGCTTGCAATTTTCGACTCAATCTCTCTCCACTTTCATTTCCATCTATTTCACTTTCGTTTCGGACTTAAACTCTCCTTGTTTTCTCTGTTGGATTTCGTTCTCTCTGTTCTGTTTATGTTTGGGTTTTGAGAAAAGGTGGTGATTGAAAGGAAGAGAGTATGGCTTTTGGGTTTCAGATTCAAAGGTTAGTGGTTGGGTTTGAAGATTGAGGAATGGAAGTATATGGGTTTCAGAGAGGGCGGCGAGTTTGAAGAAGGGTGTTGGGGGTTGGTTCTGAGATTCACGCTTTTGGGTATCGAAGGTTGAAGGTATGCGTTGTGCGGATGGTGATGAAAATGGAGTTCTGGACGAATCTGGAGATGACGGTAGTTTTAAGGCTGTTGAAGTGTTGTTGTTTCTGTTAAGATTTAGGGGTTTCGCTTATGAATCGCAGATGGGTGGAGGAAATGGGTACGAAATGGTGATGAGTGGAAGTGTTGTTATGTTTCCGGGTTAATGGGTTGTTGTTTTCGGATGGATTTTCCGGAAGAGGGATATGGGTTACCGGCGGGTGAAAATGGAAGGATTTTTGGATTGTTCTGATAGAAATTTGTTGAAGGTTCTGGTTTTCTGGTTTGATGTTGAAGGAGGATGCGTTCGTCGATGGAGGTTGGGAGATGAATGATAAACAAGGAAGAAGGGGAACAGTGGCGGCTGCAGAGTGCCCTATAGGTTTAGGGTTTTGAGGCTGCTGTTAGGGTTGTGTCCTCCGGAAGGAGAAGATGAATAGGAGAAGTATATATAGGACGTTGACACATGGCAAGACTAGTGATTAGAGATTAATTATGGTTTTAAAACAAAGACAACGATAATGCTGATTAATTAGAAAGAAAATTGCACTAAATAAATGGTTAAATACTAACTACTAACTAATTAATAAACTAACCTAATAAAATTCTACGTAATCAAAATAATTTCAATTGAAAAACTAATAACTAATAAATCTATAATTTAATAAATCCTAATTAAAACTAATCTAATAATAAAAATTAATTCTAATAACTCTAATAAAATTCTAACAAAATATAATTCTATAATAAAATAAAACTCTATTTAGCTCTTAATAATAAAAATACACTAAAAATTATATTTAACCTAAAAGCTATTTCTAAACTATATAATTAAATCTATTTTAAACTCTATTAAATTAATCTAAATAAAAAAATAAAAAAAAATAATTAATTACTAATAATCTAATTAAAATTAAATAATTTTAAAACTATTTCTAATTTTAAATCCAAAATTCTAAATTAATTCTATTTCATTAAAAAATTTAATTAATTTTAAACTAATTCCTAATAACAAATCTAAAATTACTAACTTAATTCTAAAATCCTAAAATATCTCTAAAATTACTAACTTAATTCTAAAATCCTAAAATATCTCTAAAATTACTAACTTAATTCTAAAATCCTAAAATATCTCTATAATTACTAACTTAATTCTAAAATCATAAAATATCTCTAAAATTACTAACTTAAATCTAAAATCCTAAAATATCTCTATAATTACTAATTTAATTTTAAAATCATAAAATAATCCTAAATTAAATCAAATCTAATTAATTCTAAAATCCTAATTTAATAATACTAATAATTACCAATTAATTCTAAAACTAAATTCTAATTAATTTTAAAACTAAAGAACTAGCTAAATAATAAAACTAAAAAATAATATCTATTGATTCTAATAACTAATCTAAATTAATAATTAAAAATAGTTCTAAACAAATAAATAAATAAAACTTATTTAAAACCTAACTTCTATTTTCTATCTAAAACAAAATAATAAAATCCTATATTAAATTCTATTTAACTATTAAAATAAAATAAAATCTATTCTAAAAACAAATAAAATTCTATTCTATTTCTAAATAACCTATTTTAAAAGTCTATTAAAATCCTAATAACATAACTCTAAGAAAAAATTTTAATCAAGTAAATAAATAAATAAATAAATAACTACAATAAAACTAACAATAAAAATGTATTTCTATTTAAAATAATATGAAAAACCTATTTAAACTAAATAAATGCTAAAACACAAATATATACAAAAAAATAAAATAATAATATTTAGAAGGAAAAAGAGAAATTAAAAAGAATTGAAATTTACAAAAATATCCTTTGACCACGTGTCACGCTCCATCGAGATTTGAAAAACGCTCAATCAAAAGGTGGACACGTGTCTGAACGCCATGAAATTAAATAAAAATACAAAAATAAAAAATGCAAAAATATTTACGGATAAATTTAAGGTACGACAATACCACCATCCAAATCATCTCTAGTTTGAAGACTAATGCAAGGAAAGATCCCATCAAAATGACATGCTTACGAGGAAAAGCATTACAACGACCTCCATATGTGTTGCCTTTGCAACTGAGAGAACTGCACACATTTTCTTTTAGTGCAAGTTCTAATACAACCAACATGCCTCTCACTATGGAAGATTGGTGGCACCATAGCAGTAGAGGAAGATCTAAACAATGCAATTCGGTTATGAAAGCCTAAAGTATATTTCTCATCAGCAATATTTGGGATGCTAAAACAAGTTCATATTCAAACCAGCGGTATGTATCAGTTGAATGAATATATGACAAAGTTTTAATTTAATCCGTAACAAAAGATATATAACTATTTCCAGAAAACATATATAGATATTAAATATATACGCGCATTTGACACGGCATGTTTTATTGATTACTTGATGAAATAAAAAAAGGCAAGGGCTCGGTAGTAATTTTATATATCTTATTTAGCAAAAAAAAAAGTTTATATGTTTTTTTTCCATTTGAAGTATTATTTTTATATTTCGTAAAAAATATTATATTATTATTATTTAAAAGAAAAAAAATAAAAATAAAAGGTACTTTCTCGGTTACAACCTTCGAGGCGAAGTTACCCCCATAAAACACCTAAATAGCCGTCAATAAATAACTAGGACTAAATATTAGCAGCATTATATAAGTAAATTCTTCATCTATATTTTCTCAAAACAAATCGCTCCCACAACAACCCTTTTCTCTTTCTTTTTTTTCTTCCGCCACCGAAATGAGTTACTACAACCAACAACAACCGCCCGTCGGCGTTCCTCCGCCGCAAGGTCTTTCTCAATTTCACTTACCGTTACTGTTAATTTTTGATTTGGCACCGATTTCTTGATTATAGATCTTTCATATTCTTTTTACTCTAATTTTGTGGTTTTGATTTTGTGAATTAGGTTATCCGCAGCAAGAGTCTTATGGAAAAGACGCTTACCCTCCGCCGGGGTATCCGCCGCAAGGCTACCCTCCACAACAGGGCTATCCACCGCAAGGATATCCACAGCAAGGCTATCCACCGCAATATGCTCCTCAGTATGCTCAGCCTCCACCTCAACAACAGCAAAATTCATCCGGTGCTGGTTGCTTGGAAGGCTGGTAAATCCTCTCTCGATCTCAAGATCTCTCTATAGTATGATATAATTGAATCGATGAAATCAAAATTGTTGTTGTGGTTACTCCGATCAACGGTGAATTAATCACTGGATCGTGGGTGTTGCCGGTGGTGCGTCAGCGATTGATTGTTACTTTGTTGTTTTCCTCTTATCTATTATTTTATTCAAAATGATATATATTTTTTTTTATTTTACTATATTTTTGCTTTTGTTTCTGTGGGCCATACCAGATACCGGATATACCAATGTCCTTAGTTGAGCTCTTATTGTCATATATACAAAATTAATCAATTCAGTTAGCTTAATTCAAGATTAAAAACAATAGTTAAGCAGAATTGTAAGTGATTATTTTAATTTCAACTTATAATATAAGTCAAGTGGGGTGGGTAGTGGCTGTCACTGATAGTGATTTATTTGACGTGTGGGTTTTGCCATCTTGAAGTGGTACCGTGTATTGTTGAAAGGGTCTTCTATAAAACTACTTTTTTATAAAACTACTTTTGTTATTTTTGTTTAAATTCCTTTTCATAAGAGTTTGGAGTATATAGTATTTTTCTTTAGAGATTAAATTAGTGTGTATTCTTTGCTCTATATGCTTCAAATGTTACAATTTTTGGCTCTCACAATTCCTTTCTTTTAAGATATGCATCCACCTGTGTAAAGGTTTTACAAACACACGGGCTTGATCTAAATGAATAAATTAAACATGATCACAAATGTTAGTGTTGGATTTAGATATCAACACCTCTTTTTTCAGAGGTGCCGGTGCTATAGAGTGTAGGACCTTACTAGTTTCTTCTTTCTTTTGGTAAATAAGGTTATAAGTTTCTGGCTTTATGCTAATGCATTATGTTATACTCAATGGTCACCGATGTGATGTAATCTGATTTGTTTGTATAATTTGTAAATGTTGCAGTTTGGCTGCTCTCTGCTGCTGCTGTCTCTTGGATGCGTGCTTTTGAAGGGAGATATTACGTTGCACAGATTGGGTTGATTACAAATGTATTTTGACTTCGAGTACATGATTATTATTGTTCTTTTAGTTTCTTTTACATTTCCTTGTTAATTGTTTGCTTTTATGAATATCAAGTTATGAACTACTGCTTCTAAATATCATACTGCCTCATTAAAGGATTGGTCTCTTTTTTATTTTCTTTGTTTCGTTTGGCTAGCATTTGTATTTTGCATGAATGTGTTAATCGTCACTAGCCTCAGCATTTTTATGATGAATCCGTAGCAAATTTCACCTTATATTATTTGTTAATCGTCACATGCACAAAACTATTGTAACATTTAAGTGACATAGTAGCACCATTTTTCCAAAACTATCAACAATCTTTTTACAGACATTAAGCAGAAACATCAGTAGTGGTGTCAAGTTGACTGTAATTCCCTTTCTCTTTGAAAAGTTGAATGTGATGATGTTTGCAGTAGAGCTTTGTGTCATGTGTAACAAAATTTGATGAGCTTATAGTACAACCTCCATAGGTACATTTGAAGCAGCCTTTGTGATAGGGAGTCCCGTTAACGGTAACCTTTGATAATAGTAGCATATTAATCATTAGTAATTAGAACTAGAAAGTGTAAAACATTATTAATTAACTGCAAATTGCAAATTTCTATCAGTTATACCTTCTCAGTGGGATATACAGTCTTTTTGCAACACATGCATATGTCTTTTGTCCCCCCAAATGCATTTGCCACTGTTTTGGCATTCTGTCATTCAAAAATCCAGTGTCAAACTGTCACTAAGAATACACTTACTCTGAAATGTGACAAGAGAAGCTATAGAAATATCTCACCTCATTCTCAGTTGGTCTTTCTGGTTTCTGAATTTTAGGCGTTCCTGTGATGAATGAGAATGAGAGGAAACAAAAGAATGTTAATCAACTCTAAATTTTCATGCAGAACAATTTCTGTTTCTGTTTACAAGTCGATTTTACCTTCAAAGCTTTTGTTCAGGCTTCCGGTTCTCTTGTAGAGTTGATCATAGTGCGGTCTGCAATAGAGCACCCCATCGATAGAACAGTAGTTGCTTAGCTACAATTGCAAACAGGGTTATAATTCATCAAATTCTGTAGGATCATTTGGTGAGTTTCATCATTCAATGGTTTCATAATATATTTTACATGTCAAGATATATATATTTTTTGAATACCTTGAGGGTATTCTGGCAATGGTGGCATCGAAAGCAGGCCTTGTGATATGTACGACCATCTGCGGCTAGCTTCTCAACAAGATAAACTGTTTTTTCGCATGCCATGCACTTCTGTATGGATCCTCCCAAACTGGCCATGGCAGCCGATGACCGAAACCTGGATGGAATGAGCAAGAGAAATAGAGAGAGAACAAAGTTTCGTATTCCTCAAGGATTTCCTCTGCCAAAGTTCCCTCTCTTCTATCTATTCTCTCTAATTTTTTCCAAGAAATAGAGAAAAGAAATCAGAGAAAAAGAGAGAAAAGAAATCAGAGGAGGAGACGAAAAAACTGAATGTGGACAGCAGTAAATTTCGTATTTTTTTAGATGACACGTGTTGAGTTGTGAGTGAATTGTGGATTAAAAGGAAGAAAAAAAAAAAATACAAGGTTAAATAAAACAGAGATAGATTATTCTTGTTATGAGTGGTGAGTTGGCTTTCCAACTAGTATTTTGTTCTTTATAGGCGTGTCTTACAATAATTCAATAATTGATACAGCGAAAAAATAAAAAACATAGTACATAAAAGCATTATATAAAATGTGTGATCCTAATAAGAAAAACTAATATAAAATGTATTTTATACGGTGTCTTATTATGTATGATACTATTACTAACTTGTGATCAAATAATAGCTCTCTCAATCTAGTACTATATGTATTGTAAACAAGAGACTGACAAACTCATCTATAAATAAATAAATAAAAGATTAGCAACTCTGAACGAATTGATATTATACTTAAAAAAATGTTGAATTAATTAATTTTGGTAAGGACATTCCTAATGTTACCGGATACTTGAAAAAGTGTAACTAGTCTTATTTTAATTAATAATTTTGTATTTCTCCATTAAAATGGCAGCTTTTAACCATAGAAAAGAATAAATATACAAGCTCACATAAAATATGGATAATTTTTTAATGTACTTTAAATACTTTTGAATTATTACGCAAAATTATTTAAATATTCTTAGTTTTTATATATGTATTTTTGGATGTATCTATTTCTAAATAAATGTTAAAATATTTCAGAGATGTATCTTCAGAACAATTTAAAACATTCAATACATCTCAATCAGAAGCCATTTATTTTTAAATCGTATTGGAGGTGCATCTCCGTGAATATTTCAGAAATATATCTCTAAAATGTGTTAGAACATGTATTTCATGTTATATGTTGTTTATTTGTGTTCAGATGAAGTATAATGTAAAATCGAAAGTGGAAAAGCAGATGTACATAATTTCAGATGAACCAAAATGTCATACAAAACTAGAATAGCAATATACATCGAAAATGTCGTACAATCAAGAACAATAATATAATAAGACCGTCAAATAAAGCACAAATCATAATACTACAGCAAAATAATAAGTATAACTGTTGTCTGTCTGACAACCTTTCTTCTACATCTTATTTCCCATCTACCTCCTTGCCATCAATCCCATGTCCTTCGATGATGTCTTTAGTACAACAATCTCCTTTATGCCTCCTTCATGATGGCATCTAAGACTCACCTGACATCATATCGGTGAGTATGAATGTGATACCCTAAAGAACCATCTGATTTACCCTTCGACGTAGCTCTAGTCGCTCTCAGCTATGGTAGCCCGTGCCTCCTCTGACACCAAGTGACTCTTATAATCATCAAACATCTCATCTATTTGTCTACGTGTCAAGGTAGGAGGAGTAGAGACAATAGGGTGACTAAGAATGGTCTGAGTGTATCTAAACTGCCGCATGACACGCTTGGGTAGGTGAGGAGCAGTGAGACGCGATCCGCAAGCCAACCATTCATAGTATAACACTGTCTCTTCAAATGGTCGCGTCTCACGGTGATCAACATAGTTGTTGAAGAGCATGTTCGAGCAACCAAACAGTCAAGATAGACTCTAAAAGGCTTGATTGTTTGGTTCTTTCTGAGCAGGATAAAAATAGTAACGCTCGACATATCCTTAGTGTACTTAAGCACACTCGCCCAACCAAAGATGCGAGGGAACTGTTGGAGGATCCAAGTCTGAAATAAAAAGTTCGGAAAATGTGAATCATTAGTAATGATTTTGAAAAGATGAAATGAAAATGATAAAAAAAAGCATTTAAAGACAAATAATTATTATCATAAGTAGTGTTACGCTGCTTGTGACTTGCTTCGTCTTCCACATACAACCCTTTCTTAACTTCGAATACAGGTAGACCAAATAAGCCGTCCTCAGTTGTATTCACGGATCCGCTCGAAAATCTATGAAGTACTGTAGGTAGACAACGTCTGTATAAGTAACACTTTTGTCCACAAAAATCACAATGCTAACCAAATATAACAGGTATGCTCTTAATGCAAGCGATCTGTGGAGCCCCACCTGCTTAGCATCACCATCAACCACCTGTGCATTTAGGATCTCAGCCTCATATAACTTCTTCAAAAATTCAAATCTAGCATTAGCACCCTTGGTCTTTTCCAACTCCTCCATCACCTCCCATAAATCAGCCTCAAGATACTCAACCATCATCTCGAGTGCCTCCTGTTTGGTCATCCTCCATGATCTAGGAATTGTTCCCGATCGGATCATGTAGCAAACAGGAGACATCGTCCAGTATGATAGACATCTCACCATGCAGGAGATGAAACGAAGAGGTCTCCAAATTCCATATCTCCATGAATGCATTAAGCATCTCGTGGTTAATCGTAGTATAATCGGCCCTGCATAAGTCCTTCAAGTCGGATAAGGACAAAACAGACTGAAACCAATCCTTATTAGGATGAGGCAACGCAATAATCTTACTCATGTAGTTAAGAAACTTCTAGAGATCATGCTCTTGAAATTTTTCAGAAATAATCAATGTCAGAAATTAAAATAAACGTAAAAAAATAAATCAAGAATCCAAATAATGTTACCTCTTTGTCTCATATATGTATGGTAGTATGGTCTGGATACATAAGAAGTAAGAAAAAAATCAATCAGACTCTCCAAAAGCCTATGGCTCGGCATCTACAACAGCCTCAACCTCTGAAGGTGGCACTGGATTAACATCATCAGTAGAAGGCGGGACTTGATCAATAACATCATTCGTAGGAGGTGGTACTAGTGAATCCTGACACCTGCGGGAGGATGGGAAAGTGATGCGTCAGATGGCGACTCTCATCTCCTACGGGAAGAAGAATGTGGAGTGGCCTGAAGAGAAGCACGAGCTCTAGAAGTAGACGATTTTTCCCGACCAGAGGAACCTAGAGCCTCCGGAACTTGTTGGCTCCGCTCCCGCCGAACGGATGCGTGCTGAGCAACCCTACCATGCCTTAGTTTGTCATGTCTCTCAACCATTATACATGTAAGTTAAAGTAAGGCATATCATTAGTGCACGCAAAAAAAATACACAAGCAAAAAAATCCAAAATAAAAAATACTATAGGAGATTTCAGAAATGCATATCTAGAACCACCAAGAAACTAAAACATTTAAAAATTCTAGAGATGCATCTCTGAAATATCCTGCAGCATATGAAACAGTGAACAATTTCGAAGATGCATCTCCATAATTTTCTGCAACTCAGAAGTTGAATCAATAGCGTAATGTACCACATGCAAGGTCAAAAAAATGTGTTTTAATCACTATTTTCAACCAACAAACACCATATCACTATGGCTAAACTATGTTAGATGTGGTTTCTACTCATTTCTAACCCTAATAAGTGATTTCTACTCATTTACACTAAAACTCAAGCATTTATCGAAACTCGAATAACTTACTTGAAATTGATATTTTTGATGAAGTTGG